GAGCCGCGCAGCCCGGGCTTCCCTGCGCAGGAAACCTTCGCGTTGTTCTTCCCCGCTTCCCGCTCCATGCGCAGCCGCAGGCGCGGTGGGATGCGCTGCGCCCCGCGCTGCCCCCGAGCCCATCACCGCTGCGCGGAAAGCCGTTGCCCCGGCGTCGTGTGCCTGCGGGCGGGCGCGGGAAGCCGGTGTTTCTCGTAAAAGTTGCTTTCTTTTCCTTTTTCCAAAAGAAAGAAGTTCTGGTATGACAGCCCTACCCTGGGATCTAAAATGGTAAGTGCGAGCTTCCACCGTGCTGCCTGTGCCAGGAGGAGCAAGCTTGTGCTTCTGCCATCGTGTCTAACTTTGGGAAAAGTCTTTCCTGCTGGAGAAACAGCAGGATTTTGTGAATTAACAGTCGGGCTTCAGTTTCACTATGACATGTCGGGATTGCTGTCGGGAGGCGTTTCCTTGTCTGTGCTGATCTTTCATCCGCGCCAGCACCAGCGCTCTCTTGCACGCCTCTGAGCCCGGAGCAGGGAGCTGATCCAGATTAAAATTTCCTATGTGCTAGCTGAGGTTTACTTTTGCAGAAAACAAAGTTTTTGTGTTCGTTTTTCAAACAAGCGATGCTTTTCCGTTAACACGTGGTGTATTTTAGAAGACCAATTTATTGAGCTGTAGGACTTGCAACAAAATAATAAACTAAGCAACCTTGACTGTAATACAGGAAGGTCAAAGATTTTGTGAACAGAAATGTTCTTTAGTGGAACACCTGGTACATCAGACCTGTATAAAGCCATCACAGCTGCAGCAATGGTTGAGCATGATTATTAGAGTGCACAAATAATTGCCCAATACAAGTTTGTATCTACTGATTAATATATTTTGGGTTTTTTTGTGTTTTGTTTTGGTTTTTTTTTTTTTTTAAGATGTATAAACCAGCTGAGTTGGCCTCTGTAGTGAAAGACGACCAGACAAGAACTAGGAAAGGAGATAACATGCGCTGCAAAGTCTTGAATGGTCTCCTTTGGAAAGCTGTGACAGAGATGATGTCTACCTGTGAAGTTAATCAAGAAATTTATGATCTCAAGCTGGAAATCTGCAAGGCAAGTGCCAAAAGTACCACTCGCGTTGAGCCGCTCTGGCTACGCCTTGAGGTCAGCGTGGCGCACCGGAGGAGCTGCCCTGGCTGTTGTGATGGTGTGCAGGAGGAGTTTCACTGCTCTGCTTCTGATGGGGCAGATGGCAGCATGATGAGGCTCTGGATTCACCTTGCACGCTAGGAGAACTTTGCCACTGTTGTACCTGCCTTAGTAGACCTTCGCCACTGTAACACAAATGCAACTTGGGCCAATTAAATGGTGATTCTCCTGGTATGACTTTTTTTTTTCTGTTACTCAGACACATGCTATTTTCCTTGCCCTTTCAGAAGGAGCCTGGTTTTACCAACATAAGTGTATCTTTCCAGGAGTCTTTTCTTTGTGCATCCGTGGGATAGTTGATACCTCCTCGTGTCCCTCACCAGCAGCATGACGCAGGCAGAAGACCTAAGTGGGGGATGAACTTAATTGGAAAAAAAAAAAGGCAAGCCTAAGAAAATGACGTTGGCAGGCAGAGTTCCAGAAAGAATTGGAATTTGTACCTAATTTTAGCTAGTGTTGCCGTAATTCTTGGGTTTGAAAGGGATGTTAAAGCTCTGATTAAGGAACTCAGTCCGTCTCCACATTCCTGTTTGTTGTCTGTAGATTTTTCTCCTACATTTGCTGTTTTTTAAGATTAAGTGTTTGGTTTAAAAGCTTGATGGACTTAGCTTTGTTAGTCAGAAGCATGGAAAAAAGTACTTCATGGCTGCGTCTATGACAAGGGCTTTGTCATTTATGATTGAAACAAATGTTTTTGCCTGCTGAATTCTTCTATCTTTAGGCAAGTGATGGAAGTTATTGTGGGCAAGATGAGTCTTTTGGCTCCGTGTGTGCAGTATCCTTCACACAGTATTTCTCTGCAGCTTAGAGAATTGCTTGTCTTAACTTGGATGGCATGTCTGCCCATAAAATACTGGCTGGTGTAGGCAAGCCCCAGCGCCTTCGGGAGGCATTGTTGTAAATGAAACAACTTGTAACATGAGAGAGGGAAAGAAACAGCCTTCTTTGAAATATAGTAGAGATTTTATTAGAAATATAGTACAGATTTGATTAGAACTACGTAGCGCTTAGTGTTCGTGCTGCCCTGGGGCATGGCTGAGGCTCAATCCTGATTTACTCTTGAGCTGAGTGTGGTCTGATATCATTACTTCTATTAGCAAAAGAAATCTTCTAGTAGGCTTTCTGCAATCAATCAGAATTTTTTTTTTTTTTCAGGATCAAAAGTTAAATACAGATAGAATTGTGCTTCAGGCCTGATACATCAAACTTTTATCCACTCCATAATGTTGCTGGTGTGATGATGAAGAAACAGCTTGTGTTAGATAGGGCTGTTTGTGTACTTACACTAGACTCAGTGTGGGAGATGGGGAGGGTTGATCCTGCAGCAGAAGCAGACGATTAATGATGAGGTTTTTAAATGAGTAGCAAGTTTCCCAAGGGAGGAGTTATTTGGTGGTGGAAAAAATCAATATCTACTTTGGTTTTTGGGGACAGCCCATTCTGCTTTTGGAAGCAGTAGCACTGCCAACAGCAGACTGTGCTGCAGTTTTCAGTCCTGGCAATACTCTGATGGTGTTGTCTGGTCCTGCTGATGTATGTAGACACCTATTTGTTTGAAGAGTTGGTTTCTGCACGAGATGATCTCTAAACTGTGCTTTCCAATGGGTAAGGTATGCTTTCTCCTCCCTCTTGCTTGGCTCCTTGGGTTGAGCCAGATTGGTTATTAGAAGTTTGCTGAGTGCACATCTCTTAGTGAGAACCTGTTCTGTGAGACGCCGCTAGATGAGATGGATGATAGTTGCAAAAATCCTTTAGAATCCAGTTTGTGTTTGCCACTGTTGGACCTGGCTTAGTAGACCTTTGCCACTGTAATGCAAATGCACTTTACATATCCAGTTTGGGTCACCGCCTGCTTATTGATGAATTAGAGACTTTGTTGTACATGAAGTGTGTGTGTGTATATTATAATTTTAAAGAAACATTTGTCTTTTTGCAGGTGTCCCTGGCATCAAACTTTTCAGCGTGTCGTGTGTACTGGAATCCTGCTGCTACTATGGAGAAAGAAAGTTATGTCGAAAGTGTCCTGCAGAAGAGTGCTCCACGTATACGGTACTACTATGGGATGAACAGTTGGACCACTTCATAAATTCATAGTACCGTTTTTTAAGTATTTCTAACAATCTATATCTGACCTGTTAGGATGCTTTGGGTTTTTAGATATTTAGAGTCAGAGCATCTCCTGTGATGAGCCTCACAAGGAGGGATGGCTGTGTCAGACCAGCCGTGCGTTCTCCTGCTGGAGCACAGCTGGCTTGTTTGGGTTTGGTGCAGTTCCAGGCTTGAACTGGGCTGAGCAGAAAGGAGGAGGAGTCTGGATGAAGTTTCACTTCATTGTACTGGTGATAGTGAGCTGGACGTGCTGTGCACAACAGTAGGCCAGAACATGATGCTGCACAAGAAGACTGGCAATTACAAGTAATATCTCCTTACAGATCCACTGGGCAACTCTGATGGCTAGGGACAACTCGGAGCTCTGGAAGGGATGATTGATACTACAGAAATTCTTCACAATACTGATATGAAAAAAAAAATGTTGGGATGGTGCGGTCTATTGTGACAATTTTACCCATTTTTGGCAGAGGGTCCAGTGATTTTTCAGGATATTTTAGAGACTTGTGTCTGTTCCGGTTTCCTGGGCTTACCCTCTGCTATCCAGCCAGTCTGTTGGAGGATCAGGACTTCATCCCATGGGGAAGGTGGCATTGAAACATACTTGTAGAACCATTTCTTCCCCCCGCTGTTTCCCTAGGCTGTGTATTTCCTGCTCCAGCACAATGCTCTCTTCTACTCCCAACAGCTTCCACTCTTAGAGAAGGAATGTTGCTGGCTGCGAAGAAGATGAGAGGAGTCCTGACAGTCCTTCCTGCAGCTAGCACATAGGACTGGTTGTCTTGCCCTGCTGTGAGAGCTCTGTTCCCCATTGCTCTCACCCCTACAGTAGGAATAAGGAAGCCAAATGAAATAGGGAAAAACCTGTGCCGGCCTCTGCGTATAGGAGATAAATTTAATATCGTCAATGCTCAGTGGGATCTGTGCTACTATCTGGTAGGTTTTGTATGTTGTACATTCAGAGCTGGGATTCTGCAGTTGTGCATTGCTTAGCACTAACGTGAATGGATTAAGTGTTGCAAACCATATCCTTAAATTTGCAGTACTGCTGGAATTAATTTAACATATTTTATCTGTGCTGGAGGTGCTGTCCTGTTACTCATACTGGTGAATGCTGTATTTTTGCCAGGTATCTTCTGATGAGTCAGCAGATTCTAGCAAATGTACCCCCGATAGTGTTTGTGAAAGACAAAGAAGCTGCAGCTGTAAAAGAGGTAATTGTAATCTTGGACTCCATGTACAGGTATAACAACATGCAAACGTGGTGACTCAGATCCCACAGTGATAAGAATTCAGACAGAGCTCATCATTCAATTGTTCTACCAGTCTACATGAAGAATCAGTCTTTGTCTATACCCTTTCCTCTTCATGTTCCAAAGTGTTTTGGCAAAGAATCTTGAGTAAGACTGATGCTTGTATACAGTGTAAAAGATTCCTTTTAGCTATCACCTCATGAACTTTTTTTGATGCTGCTGTTAGCAATCTGAAGTGAAGTTTTGTCTGCGTTTAATCCGTATCTGGGGCTAAACAATAGCCAGCTGTTCTGTCAGCCAGCGACCCCTCCCCGCTTGAGAAGGGGAACCAGGAAAAGGAAGGAAGACCTGTGGGTTGAGATAAGAACTATTTAACAATCAAAATAAAATACGATTTTAATGTAATGATAATAATAATATATGCAGACAAGTGATGTACGGTGCAGTTGCTCACCACCTCTTGACCAATGTCCAGCCCGTTCCCAGCTCACGATCCCAGAGCAAGAAAACCCCAAAACCGCAATCCCGGAATAGAGAGAGCAGGCCTCAGGGGCAGAATGACAGGAGAGACCTCCCCAGGGACAGCGACCATTGGGAAAGAGGCTATCCTCAACAAACTTTCCAACTTATAGTGAGCGTGATGTTACATGGTATGGAATACCCAGTTGCCAGTTTGTGTGTCACTTGCCCTGGCCACGATCCTCCCAAGTTCTTGGACATCTGGATTGCTAGCAAAACCCAGTTGAACAGTCCTTGATCACTGTGGATACCACGACTGGCTACAAACTAAACCAAAGTGTTGTACCAACTTTGTTCTCACCGAATCAGGTGCTGCAGTCTTAAAAATGCAGCTTGCTTTAGAAATGTAGCCTTTCTGAAGAGAAAATGGATTCTATGATTCTATCCCAGCGAAACCAGGACAAGTTTTCAGAAAAGCTTGTAGGCCAGTTAAACCAATTGTCATGGTTTAACCCCAGCTGCCAGCTAAACACCGTAGAGCCGCTCGCTCACCCTCCCCCGGGTGGGATGGGGGACAGAATCAGAAGTGTAAAAGTGAGAAAACTCGTGGGTTGAGATAAAGACAGTTTCATAAGTAAAGCAAAAGCCGCACACGGGGGCAAAGCAAAACCAGGACCCCCCCCACCCCTTCCCATGGGCAGGCTGGTGTTCAGCCATCTCCAGGAGAGCAGGGCTCCGTCACACGTAACGGTGACTTGGGAAGGCAAATGCCATCGCTCCGAACATCCTCCCCTTCCTCCTTCCTGCCCCAGCTTTGCGTGCTGAGCGTGACGTCACACGGTGTGGAACAGCCCTGTGGTGAGTTGGGGTCAGCTGTCCCAGCTGTGCCCCCTCCCAGCTCCTCGTGCCCCCCCAGCCTCCTGGCCGGTGGGGTGGGCTGAGAGGCAGAAAAGGCCCCGACTCTGTGTCAGGGGTGCTCAGCAGTGACGGAACCATCCCTGTGCTCCGACCCTGTTGGCAGCACAGATCCCAACCACAGCCCCACACCAGCTGCTGTGAAGAAAACAAACTCCATCCCAGGCAAAACCAGCACACCAGTAAAGAAATCGTGAAAAATGAAATTACAATTTAAGGAAGAATATCGGATAGGCAGTTGTCTGTTGCTTGGTATACATGATTAGAGAAATGAGGTCTGAGGAGCTGCCTTCTGCTTTTTAAATGTTGCGTGTTTTTAAAATTTCATTGAATCTAATCAGTGATTTTTTAAGGATTTTCTTACCCCAACCTTTTTCCATCTGTGAATTGTTAAAATGTTTCTAGGGAAGTGCAGATCTTTGCATAGATGATGCAAGCTCACTCATACTACTTTTTTTTCACTTTTGAAATTGTCTTTACTATTCCACCTTTACTATTTCACCTTTTCTGTCAAGGTGTTGATAGTTTTGACTAGTTGAAATATTGCCAGGATAACGGATGCTTTCCAGAAATCTGCTGTCATTAGGACTGTGAAGTGAGATTCCCCAAAGAGAAAGACGACACCAATGAGTGCAATGTCATGAAAAACATCTCCTCCAGCTGTTGATAGGAATGGAAAGCACATTAGTTGAAAAGGAAAGAGCATGTTGACAATTCTGTGCCCTGAAGCACCTTATTCTTAGATGTGTTCATTTTACAGCTGATTCCTGTGAGTGACTTACAGGCTCACGCAGTGGGTATTAGCAGAGCTGGAACGGATAACAGGAGTTTCAGACTCTCGAGAAACGCAGTGAGCTTTCTGTGGTCAGAAAAATTCTGTGTTTCGTGCCAATACACTGATCCACAGTGGAAATGTTCTCCACCTGCGTTAGCATCAACAAAAAGCACAAGAATAGAAGCGAACTCAACACTTCTGCGAGCTGTGTGTGTTCGTTATTATGCGCCCCCTAATCAACACAAGAAATTCTGCGAGTAATTAGTGAGGATGGAAGCACTTTGTCATGACTGTTACTCTGTTATTAACATACCTAGGTGGAGCTGCAAACATCTCCTCCTGCAGGTCCTGCCTTTCAGGTCTGTTACTGTGGAACCTGTTGCATTAATCACTGTTTCTCAGACTTTGTTAAATGACCACGTACTCTTTTTGAAGAAGAAAACCCCTGGCCTACCTTACCTTCATGTTCAGTGCGTAGGCACCAAGAAAGGTAACCACACAAGACAAGGGAAAACCCTCCTGGTATAGCTTCTGTCACTGAACAGCACTGGGAAGCACTCAGATGGATCATCTTTTCACACCTTGCAGATCATCAGATTTATGTAATCTGCAGATTCGAATAGCAGGGCTTGAAACAACAGAGATGAACTTGATTTTTAAGTATTGGAAGACAGGGAAGAACCATCCAATTCCTAGAATAATACATTGAATTGGAAGGGAAGTAACGTAAAGAAAATTAGTAATAAAAATTTCAAGTGATATGAAACTTTCACAATTGGAATCTGTGAACACTGAATATACTAGATTTGTAGCATTTAGTGGTTAGGTGCCATGTTAAAAGAGAGTTGGGAACTCAGTATTTACATGTAATAGAAATACAAACGTGCAGAAAGGGGGAAGAAGTGAAAAAACATCAGTGTAAGGATGTTTTGAGAAAGGATTTGCAAGACCGAAGTAAGACCAAATAAAAATTACATGTGTCACGCCATCCCTAGCCAACTGTTTGGAATGTGCATAAGGCAAAATGCTTGGTAGGAATCCCTGGATCGGTTATGCTATTTGACATCAACTTCCCAGGCAAGAGATACAAGCAGTTCCGTGCAAATGGAGGAAAAGGCTGTTTTGAAATGGTTTTGCTAAATATTCCAAACATAAAAATAGAAGAAAAAATAGTAGAAAATAAAATATTTGCTGTTAGATACTCATCTGTTTCTTGTCTAAGTAAATTTAATACAGGACCTTTAATACGTATTGTTTTCATGTGTTTACAGGTTGAGGAATTATTGTCAATTGCTGATTTTGGACCTCCAGAAGAAGAAGGAACGTTATCCGAAAATGATTCTAGGTAGGCTTTTTGAATCCGAGTTGTACAAGTGTTGGCTTTCGTCTCTGTTGGCCAACTTAAATTGGGTATTAGTTGACGCGACAGAAAGTGTATTTTAATTAGATGTGTACGTTGTGGTTATCTCAGAGTTCAGCAAATGGTGTTACGAGGAACAATTAATGAGTGCAGATACGTTTTCGTAGGCTATTTTGTCGTTGGTTCTTGTGCACGAGCGCCTTGCTGCAAACCACGGGTTTGCAAATATGGAAAGACTGGGTTTTTATATATCAGTGGACCTCTGTTAAGCTGTGGAGAATGGCTAAATGTCACTTCGAGCAGCATAGTGTATACACTTTCAGATGCAGCTAACCCATAAAACGATATTGGAACACAATTTTAGAAATCAACTGTGTTTGATGTCTATAGGGATGACGTAGTCACCAGACTCGTTGCTTGCAGACCCAATATACTTGTTCTGGTATTGGTATCTTTACTTTTATAAGGGAAATATTTTTAGAATTTCTAAGAATTCAAGACTCAATGTGTTTGTGATAATTAAATTTAAAACAATGCCTTGCAGCAGTAGCGTTTGTTTCCTGCTGGTGATATTCTCATGAGGATAAAAGCTCTGCATTTACCAGTACTCCTCTACTTGGCCACTTTTTTTTTCTGGTGTAAGTTTGGTTTTATAACTTATGAGTTATAAGTTTGCTGACAAATCTCCCTAAGTTAACAAAAAGTTAGTTAATTTAGTATGCTTTTGTGAGAGACTTATGCCTTAATGTCTCACAGGACGGCTCATCAGGTGCAAATCAGAAATAGCTTCTTGGGGGAAATCATTGTTGTGACAGACTTTCCCACAGGGCACCTAACATCTTCCTCTGTTTGTCTTGTGAAAATAAGTATGTCTTGTGGAGTAAGTCCACCTTAAGGTACCATATGCTGTTGTTCATACGTCTGTCCAACGTGTTTTGGGCACAGGCTGCTGCTTCTCACTTCTTGGAAGAGCTGAGAGAAGTCTAACTTCCTTGGAGCTCCCATGTCCAAGTGCTCGCTCCATTGCCTGTGCACACCTTTTCCCAGAAACAAGCCGTTTCATCTGGAATGTAGTTGCTTTATTGGCTTCTTCCCATTAAATCTGTTGACACGCTTATACACAGCCTGTCCTTCCACACGTGGTACGGTGGTGTCTCTTCCGTCTTAACATAGGGAGCACAATGCTGGACACAGTGCATTAAAGTTGAACTGGAAGCTCCAGTTTATTTCTGTTACTCAAGTTGTCACAATTAGCATTGCCCCTTAAGATATACACGGGAGTAAAAAAAAAAACTCACAACATTTGTTTTCTTTTCTGCAGTAAAGTGTTCCCTTCAGCAACTCAGTCTTCAGATTCACCCATGCGGTCTAATCTTTTTGGTATCGATCATGAACTGCTGAACAAGCAGATAATGGACTACAAAAGACTGAAAGTGTCAAGAGACAGAGAAAACGTTGCCTGGACAGAAGAGCAGGAGCAGCAGCTTTCAAAGATTCAAAAGAAAATGAAAAAGAAAAAACCAAGGAATCCTCCCGATGATGACGTTACACCACAGAAATACTTACTGGACAGATATGAAGCTGATTACTGGGATGGTGACACTGAATCAGTCTCGGACTATGAGCTGGAGGATGAATTACAGGAAGAGGTAAACGAATCGGAGGCAGATGATGGCAAAACTCGAAGTCAGCCTACTGATAAACTGAAATGAAGTGAAAAAGCCACTCCTTTGGAGGCTGCCAGTAGCAAAAAAAAGACTGCCATCGATACTGAAAGATCAGTTTTTTACGGCCTGTGTACCACTTCCTCTTTCGAACTCACAGGTTTGCCACACATGGGGAGGTTTGCTAGCACAGGTATGTAAGAAAAACAAAAATGCTATTTATGATATTCTGTTAAGCAGCTTTCAAGCTGCTGCAGTTGTAGGGCTTTCAACCAGAGAGCAGTTTTGTAATAAAATATCCATAGTGCACTGCTTGGGTAAAACTTCTTGAAGTTCTCTTGATTATTTCCAATAAAATTATGGTTTCTGTGTTGAAATAAAATGTCTTTTTTTTTTTGAGTGATCTGGATAGAAATAGTCACAAATTGATGGTGTCTGTTATTCTGAGGTCAGGAAAGAAGAGAGAAGCAAAATAATGACAGTGGCGTTCAAAGAGCAGCCTTTGGTGCACAAAGACCAGGACAGGATATTCTCTGGAGGACCTACTCTAATGAGAGATCGCTTGCCAAAAGAAGGTGAAATTCATTGAAATTACGACCAATAAAGTTCCAACCCTGAAAGAAAATAAATTTATTTATTTATTTTAATATTCAGAAATTTACAGTTGTGCAAAGGGAGCTGCTTATCTGTTGGGTAAAGTTGGGCAAAGCATTGACCATGACTGAAAAAATGTATTAGAAACTCCAAGGTGGAGGAAAAGCAGCAGGAAAGAATGCTCTAGTAACTGAGATTTGAAAATGGATGGGGAATCATATGAAAAGTGAGAAGAAAGCTCTCTGGCTCAAAGCAAGTAAGACGTGCAGCTGAATTTAAGCACTTGGTGCCCCTGTGAGCACGTGCTACACCACTCGGGTTTGATTCAGTGGGATTAGTTCAATGGCAGTTTTAGAAAACGCAAGAGTTTTCCTTGCTTCCTATGACTGCCAATCCAAACCTTCCTAAACACTCTGGGACCCTCCAAGTGTATTGTTCAGATCTAAATTTCAGACTGAAAGTAAAGAAATACTGCAGCTAACTCTCCAATCTGGTTATTTTCCTGAAGACCTGGTCTGATAAGGTGCTAGTTTTGAAGGGGTGATGAGGGCACATGGTTCCTCTGCTTCGCTTCAGCCAATCAGTTTCTCTAACTTTTGGGTTAATTCTCCAATTTTTGATTTTCTGTTGATTTCTCTAAGACCTTGCCGTGAAAGCGTTTCACGCTTTTTGCGTCGTTCCAAACCAGAAGCGTCTCTCCAGCAGAATTGCTCAGTAACGCCGCTGTGCTGGCAGCAAGTTGTTTACCAACCCTCTCCAAAACACATCCCTCCAGGAGGGTGCCGGTCTCCTTACTCATGTGAGTCAGAAAAAACACTGGCAAAACTGGCTTTGTGCCAGGGAGATTAGAAAACCACGATGCGCATCTCGCTGGAATCTTGTTTTCTGTCCAAGGAATTACTCATTTTGTCATGAAAGCCAATCTATCCTTAACCTTCGCTCGCGTATGTAAAGCCAAGAAACGTAGGAAAAAAGCTCAGCAAAGAGAAAGAAATTAGTGTATTGCCCAGTGCTTTGCCATTTTGTCCTGTATCTAACTGCAAGAGGGTAAGTGAAGACAAAAAGGTTTAAAGATTTCAAAGCTCTGCAGCATGTGCCCCATCAAACCAGAAGAAAGTCTTCATTAACTAGGAAGAATGAGTTGCACGCATGTTTTTCTTGCATTCAATCACTGCTGATAGCACACTGCTGCACACTGGGACTTGAAAATCTACTCTGGTGAAAGACCAGTCGTTCTCATGTTCTCATAAACACCTAACCGAGAAAGCATCGTGCTTGTGAAGGCTTAACGGCACAAACAGGAGCCCTTTCATAGAATCATAGAATGGTTAGAGCTGGAAGGGACCTTCAAAGGTCATCTAGTCCAACCCCGCTGCAAGGAACAGGGATATCTCCAACTAGATCAGGTTGCTCAGGGCCTCGTCCAACCTGGCCTTGAACATCTCCAGGGATGGAGCATCCACCACCTCTCTGGGCAACCTGTTCCAGTGTTCTACAACTCTCATGGTAAAAAATTTTTTCCTAATATCCAACCTGAATCTACCTACTAATTTTAAAACCATTACCCCTTGTCCTATCACAACAGGCCCTCCTGACCAGCCTCTCCCCATCTTTCTTGTGGGCCCCCTTGAGGTACTGGAAGACCGCTATAAGGTCACCCCGGAGCCTCCTCTTCTCCAGGCTGAACAGCCCCAACTCTTTCAGCCTGTCCTCATAGGAAAGGTGCTCCAGCCCTCTTATCATCTTCGTGGCCTCCTCTGGACCCTCTCCAACTGGTCCGTGTCCTTCTTATGTTGGGGTCTCCAGAACTGGACGCAATACTCCAGTGAGGTCTTACAAGGGCAGAGTAGAGGGGGAGAATCACCTCCCTTGACCTGCTGGCCATGCTCCTCGGAAAGCAACGAGGTTCGCAACGGAAGAGAGGAAACACTGCCCGGGCCACAGTTTATTTACACAAAATTCTGGGAGACAAGCAAGAAAGTGCTTCTGTGTCCTGCAGAAAAAGTTCTCCAAGACTGTTCTCCAGGCTGGATGCAATCATTCACTTCATCCGTACTCAGATTTCACTCCTGCCTGAGAACTGTGGCTATGCTGGAGGTCCCCTGTCCTGGTGAGAATGGGGCTCTGCTGGGGGAAGGAGGTGAGGGAGGGTGGGCTGTGGGGCTGCTGCAGAGCTACTGTGTCCTGCTGCAAAACTGAGATCTAAATTAGGCAGCTGAGGTAGTTTGAAGAGTCTTTTCTGAGCAATGCGATTCCAGCAGCTGATAAACAGCAAATTTGTGCATATTTGGTCAATGGAAAGTTGGTTCAATTTCTGTCATTGCTGGAATGTATTGCAAGGAAAAGGGGAAACGTCTCAGTCTTTCCTCTTCCAAATCATTATTCCGAGTGCACCCTTTATCGAATTCTTACTTTTTCTGTTTGTCCATGGGCTGTTTGCTGGCAGACTCATGAGACGCTCATGATGGGAAACGAACATGGCCGTTTGCAAGCACAAGTGGTCAGACTGGCTTCTGCTTTTCCCTAGAGGTTTCATGAACTATGCCATCACTTTGGCTTTGCGATCTTCCTGGGGAAATTCCCAGTAGGTTTAAGAGAGGGATGCGGTGGGATGGGATGGGATGGGATGGGATGGGATGGGATGGGATGGGATGGGATGCCGCAATCCCAGTGAAGTGAGATGAGATGAGCAGAGGCAGAACAGAACCGGTCTGTAAACCAACACTGGTGCTGTTGTCATTTCTGATCTCCAGGTCGTAGTGGTTTTGATATCTGACTATGTTCCATCTCCTGGGTGATCCTTAGCTGTAACAAAGTTTTGTTCAATAGTGCCCAAACAGCGTTGTTTCACACTTATTTCACATAACTCTTTTTCTTCCCCCTATTTATTTTTGAGGTTGCATTCCCACCTTACCTTATCTTCATAGATGATTGGCTTTGACAGTATTTCTTTTCCTTTTGTCTCCTCAGACAGGTCAGCAATTTCAAATATTATGGAAGAGTTGATGATATATGGCTGTATACTGGAGGATAAAAAGGAGAACACGCTTCAAACCACTGCTTTCGTCCTGTTGAAAAAACTGAGAAAGTTCTCTGAGTTCTCTCTGCAGCTCAGAGAGAGTTCCCATGGGATAATATGGGTTATCCACACTTATTGCAGCGGTGTTGGATAACGAGTTCAAGATCCATTTAGTCTACAGAGGCCCCGTTTCAGATCCCTGGCACAGGGAGAGGCTTTCTCGTTGCCCAAGGTGGTGCTCAGGCCCCTGGGGCATCTGTGGGACCTGCTGGCATCCAGTGTGGGATGTGCTGGACTTGGCTGTGACCGCTTTGCAGACTGGAATTGGGTATAGTAAACGTACCGCGAAACGTTACGACTCCGGAAACGTATTGTGGAAGGCCTGGGAGAGAGGGAGAGAAGAGGTGCCGTTTCTTCGTTAGCTCGTTGTGTGATTCTCACGGGGGCATACACCTGTCAGCTAACACATTAAATCAAACTGGTAGAACTTTAAAAAATATTTCTAATCTCTCTGTCTGTATTATACCAGTAGAGAGTGTATATTTAGAGAACTGAGTAGTCATGTGGCACAAGACAGAATTTTTTAGGAGTTACAGTTTAGTCTTCTTTAAGCCATCAGTCAGGAACTTACAGCATTACTTGTTGGGTATGAAAACAGCTTTTGTTACACAGTTTCACAGAAGGGTTTGGGTTGGAAGGGACCTCAAAGATCATCCAGTTCCAACCCCCCTGCCATGGGCAGGGACACCCTCCACTATACCAGGTTGCCCAAAGCCTCATCCAACCTGGCCTGGAACACTTCCAGGGATGAGGCATCTACAACTTCTCTGGGCAACCTGTGCCAGTGCCTCACCGCCCTCAGAGGAAAGAATTTCTTCCTTATATCTAGTCGAAGTCTGCCCTCTTTCAGTTTAAAGCCATTGCCCCTTGTCCTATCACTACACACCCTTGTAAAAAGCCCCTTTCCAGCTTTCTTGTAGCCCCCTTCAGGTACTGGAAGGCTGCAATAAGATCACCTCGGAGCCTTCTCTTCTCCAGGCTGAACAGTCGCAACTGTCTA